GGGAGGGGCAAAGAGAGAGGGGGAGAGAGAGAGAGAATCCCAAGTAGGCTCTGTATGGTCAGTGAAGAGCCTGAGGTGGGACTTGAACTCACGAAATCATGAGATCATGACCTGAGCCCAAATCAAGAATCTGATGTTTAACCAATGGAGCCACCCAGGCACCCCTGCACCTACATATTTTTTCTTAAACTTTTTTTGAGGGCATCTCATTAAGGGAGTTTTATGGTGCTTTTTTCCCAAGTGTTTTTAGAATTTGTAGGCCAGCAAGAAGTATTGGTAATAATACAGGTTAAACAAAATTTGGTTGCTTATTACTCATAGAAATATAAGAGAAGGAGGATCTACATTCTTACCAAAGAAATATACTCACTCACCCTCTATGACAGAAGTTAGTGTATTAGCAAGTACTTTGTTAATTCTACCAGTGCACTCATTTCTGGACCAGAAAGAATGCAGCGGATCTGGAGGTTAGTGCCACCTTGTGGTGAGACTAAGCTCTGACTCCTAGAAGTTCTCAATCTTCAAAGCACAGAAAAATTACCAGAGGAGCTTGTTAAAAACAGAAATTCTTTGTGCACTTGAAACTAATGTAAGGTTGTGTGTCAGCTATACGTCAATAAAAATAAAAATAAAAGAGAAGGAGAATGACCAAAAAAAAAAAAAAACCAAACCAAAAACTGATGCTCTTGGCCTCACCCCTACAGAGTCTAATTCAGAAAGAAGAGAGGAGAGGGGAGAGAGAGCATGTGCGTGTGTTCCTGTGTGTGCGGGGGTGGGGGTTGGGGGGAGGATGTCCATGAACTTGCATATTTAAAAGGCAGCCTGCGTGATTGTTGGTTCTGTTTGGTCCTAATTCTGATCTAGAAGGCATTTTAGTGATTGGCCCAGCTCCCTTTTTGTAATCCTCCTCTCTCTTAGCTGCTGTAGTATCTCTTGGATTATGTGGGAACTGTAGCGATCTTCTGGGACTATTTTGGACACAAGAGGACCCAGCTGAGCTTGCACACAGAGAAGGGATGGGAACAGGCTAATGTGTTTTGCCAACTCCATTTGCATCTTCTCCTTATTGATTTTTGATGACCTCAGTGCTTCTTTTGACTCTGTGGGTCACACCCTACTTTTGTCTTTTTTCTCCTTGTTCATGTCCTTCAGTTTGGTATTCGGGGTCTCCATGTCTCAGATCTCCCATGTCTCTCAGATCTCAGATCTCCCATGTCTCTCACCGGGAATCCCCCATACATATTAATCTTTCATACTGCTTCTTCTCCTGAAATTCTTACCCTCCATCTTTTATGCTTTTACTGCAGTCTTTAAGTAGTTTTTATAAATCTTTTAAAAATCAGAAGACCTGCAACCCTCCTTGAAGCATTTAGCACCCCCTACACTCTGGTCTCCCACCATACTTTGTGCATAGCTTACTTATATGGTCCTCCTGGTACATCATGAAATACTGTTTCCTATTGCTGCATAAATATGTTATCCATCCATCCATCCATCCATCCATCCATCATTTTACTTATTCATTCATTCCTTATGTTGTTTTCCTTGCCTGGAATGTAAATTCTATTCATTCTTCAGATGCCACCCACATAACTAAGCCAAATATAGACTATCTTCAGCTTCATTCATTGATTCCTCCTCTGAGATCTGCTAGCACTGAGTGTCCTCAGTTGCCCACTTTAACTCTTAATTATACATGCCAGTGTATACATGCACTTCTGTTCTTCAGTAAATTGTAAGCTGCATGAGGACAGAGACTATTTTATGTAATTCTTTGGTATTTTCCAACGTTCTATATTCCCAGATGCATAATATGGTTTAGCTAAACTTGTACTCTTTGCTTTACTGCTTTGCCTCCATTTAGTTTTAAATCTTTATGGTGTTTTATAATGATGTTTTATATTCCTGCTTTCTTACCTTCAGAGTCTGCTCTCAGGAATATAGAGTAACACTTGGCCATGTAACAGTATTCAGTCCTGCTCGTATGCCATGCTTCATGCCTGAGTGGAAAGAAATATCCTTCTTCACATGCAGTCTGACTTATATACACAAAAGTAAATCAATGTGCTCACTTGCTAGTTTTTTTTAAACTGAATTAAAAGCATTTCTTTTTTTTTAATGTTTATTTGTTTATCTTGAGAGAGGGCTTAGGGGCAGAGAAAGGGAGGGAGAGAATCCCAAGCACACTCCTCACCGTCAGCGTGGAGCCCAATGCAGGGCTTGATCCCCTGAACCGTGAGATCATGACCTGAAATGAAATCAAGAGTCAGATGCTTAACTGACTGAGCCACCCACTTGCCCCTAAAAGCATTTCTTAACATAGAGTAACTCTGGGCCCTGAGACCCTGAGGTGCTTGACAGAATACACAACGTTGCAGGTTGAGCCTCCTTCTACGTATATACTCCCTTTGGGATTGTAAATGACCTCCTTGAGCTTGGTGACTTTTGGAGCCCTTTGTGTAACTAGCCCCAGAGGATCACCAAACTAACTCAATACAAATCTGGATTTGTTTGGGTTTGTTTTCTGCCACAGGGATTCAGAGCAAGCCCTCGGCATCTTAGAAGACGTGCTGCTGCGGCCGCAGCTGCTCGCCTGGAAGAGTCCAAACCTGTGGTGGAAGTTCACCATCAGAGTGAGCAAGAAATTTCAGTGAGGAAACGAAGAATCAAGAAAAATAGCCGAGTCCAGCCAGAATTCTATCATTCCGTTCAAGGTGCTTCAACCCGAAGGCCTGTAAGTAGAGAACTTTTAGAAGATTATTAAATACATGGCGTGGTTGTTCTTTGAGAAAATTGCCAGATTAACTAATCAGAGTACTGTCTTGTCATCCTCAGCAAGTGCTATGAACCCATACGAATTCCAGGGAGTGTGATTTCACAGAAAGCACTGGGCCGGAGAGTTGTCAGAGAGGCCAGAGTTGATCACTGCAGATGGAGTGATTTAAAAACTGGTGGATATTGAGCCCCATTAGAGCCAGGGTCTAGATTTAGAGCAGGCACCACAGAGTCAGCAGGCTGAGGTGCAATAATGACAGGGTTGGAGTTGGTGAAGAGGGGCAGCAGCCAACCTAGTATCAGCAAAGGAGAAGCAGTGCAGGGAAAGGTGGGGCTCCTCTCCAGGAGGAGGCTCTTGGGCCACTCAGGCCTGTGCTGCTCTCTGCAGTCAGCCAGGGTGATGGTAAGGGTGCTAGCCTTCTCTGGTTTGGCCTTCGTTTGGGTCCACGGCAGCAGGCAGCGTTGTCCTCTTCTAACTAAGTGCTCTGCGTCTCTGTTGGTGCAGTGCTACCTTATCTGGGAAAAGCCCTCACCTGGGAGCCAGTCTCCACCTGTTGACCCCATTGTTCTATGTGCGCTGATATTTTTTCTTGGTTCAGGTTCTCACACGTGGACTTTTGACCAAGGCTGTGGCAGTCAAGGATTTGGGGCTTAGAAATGCCACATGAAAACTTTGTAAAAAATATTTCATAACTGCAATAGTTTTACATTGCTTTAGCATTTAGAAGAAGTTTCCCTGTGGTTCGCTTTTATGTTGGGGGGAGCCTATTTTTGTCGTTCCTTATGCCAACCTAGGGGAACCATCAAGATTTGACTTGTTAATAAGTTTTTGTACATTATTAAAGTGGAACTGCCCTTCTGTGGAGGTAACTGCATCGCGGGCACATGCGGAGATTACTAGAAGGCCGGGAGAATGTCTGACTCAGTGAGCAGGCCAACAATGATGGCAAGAAGCTAAGTTCCTTTACAGAAAAGGTCCTGTTTGTCTTTAAACAATTGTAAAATAAGCACATATTTAGAAATGAGAGTCTTCTTTTCATGATTTAGTGAAACAAGCTATTAGGTATCTATGTGATATCTAATATGAAGTGGTAGGAAGATTTATTCACTCTCAACAAATATAAGCTTGTTTATTTGGAAATAAGGAATACACATTTATTTATTCAAATAAATAGTTATTTGAATAACCAACAGTTATTTATTTTAATGTTTATTTATTTCTGTGAGAGAGAGAGAGAGAGAGGGAGAGAGACTGAGCAGGGGAGGGGCAAGAGAAGGAGATAGGATCTGAAACGGGCCCCACGCTGACAGCACAGAGCCCGGTGCATTGCAGGGCTCAAACTCATGAACCACAAGTTCATGACCTGAGCCTAAGTAGGATGCTTGACCGACTGAGCCACCTGGGTGCTCTGAATAACTAACAGTTATTGAGGGCTTACTGTATAATAGGACTCACTTGACAGCCCTATCAAGTAGATGTTGTTATTATTTGCATATTATGGGTAATGAAACTGTGGCTCAAAGAGGATAAATAACATGCCTACATTTACCTTGCTGTTTGCAGCAGAGTCTAGGATTTGGATCTAGGCAGCCCACTTCTAGAACCCAAGCACTTATCTCTGCAGTCTGCCACCTTGCTATAGTACATGGCCTCTAGGAACGCACAGCTGAGTCCATGGCCAACATGCAAGCAAGTAAATATGATGCATGTCTGTGTTACGAAAATGCTATTGTAGAGTTAAGGACAAGGTACCATGGAAGCATGTTGAGCATCTTGGAGGGCCAGCAATATTTACAGAGAAGCAGACACCTGAGATGAATCCTGACAGAGGAGTTTGTATCTCTGATGAGAAGCACATGTACAAAAGCACAGAGGTGTGACAAGGTGTGGCGTCCTCAGGGAACAGCTGGAGGTGGTGCTGGTCGATGAGACTGGTTGGGTCAGGCAGGGCCAGATCATCAAGGGATTGTATATTATGCTAAACAGTTGGGTTTATCTTCTGTGATGGGGATCTGTTGAAGGTAGGAAATAGGCACATTGATTCTCTTGACCGGAATATAGTGAATTCTTTGTTGCTTCTAATCTCAGATTTCAGGTTCAGGTTGGGTAAGTGAGTATCATCACAGTTTTGAAACCCTCAACCACCATTATTCTCTCATGAGCACTGTACATAACTGCCTTGGGTAATAAGACATATTCCTCTGTGACTTTTTTTTTTTTAAATGTTTATTTATTTTTGAGACAGAGAGAGACAGAGAGACAGAGTGCAAACAGGGGAGGGGCAGAGAGAGAGGGAGACACAGAATCCAAAGCAGACTCTAGGCTCTGAGCTCTCAGCATGGAGCCTGATGTGGGACTTGAACTCACGAACCCTGAGATCTTGACCTGAGCCGAAGTCGGATGTTTAACCGACTGAGCCACCTGGGTGCCCCAGCTCTGTGACTTTGAAATTGGCATCCATTTTGTCCTTGAATGCCTGTCTTCCCTCTTTGTTTGCCTGGTGAATTACAATTCACCTCTTAAGACTGACCCATGATCAAGCAACTTGTTCAGAAAAGGCTTTTCCGGTCCTTCCTATCACAGTGAGATACCTTTTGTTTTGATCCTCAGCATTTTGTACAGATCTCCTGCATAGCAATTATCTAAGTGAAAAAGGCAGGCATGGGGCACCTGGCTGGCTGAGTCAGTGGAGCATGTGACTCTTGATCTCGGGGTTGTGAGTTTGAGCCTCACACTGGGTGTAGAAATTACTTAAAAAAAAAAATCCTAAAAGAAAAAGTCAGCCTCTGTAGTAAGAGGGACATGGGTTCAAGTTCTTCTCTGTGTACCTGGCAGGAAACAGGTAGCACGTAAGATAATTTAACTGAAGAGAATTTAATGAAAGGACTGTTTACAGAGGTGTGGGCAGGGCTAAGTGCGTCACTAACCTTCCGGTGGAGCCTGCCTACCTAGTATTCCTAGCCTGAAGAGGTGGCAGATGGCACTGGTCTTCCTGCATCCTGGTAAGAATTGCTGAGGCCATGAAAGAACCTTTCATAGGAACTGGGATGGAGGAGTGAAGTCACAGCCAGAATTCAGTGAGTCAGGAAGGGAGCAGGGCGAGTGTGTATAGGTTGTAGGTTTCCATTGACCTACCCTAACTAGAAGCCACAGGGCAAAGGGGCTTGGATGATTCGAAGTACAGAGATCATCATCCCAAGGAGAGAGCAAGGGAGACGTGGGCAGAGAGTCTGAGAGGGGTCAGGGATAGTGGGAAATAAAAACAAAAAACAAAAAGCGTATTAGGTAATCTTTGCCAGGTTGTTTAACTCTGTGAGACTCAGATTTCTTATTGTAAAGTGTAGCTACCTCAGTGAGTTGTGAGGATGAACCGAACTGACACATGGAAATACATGGCACAATGACCTGCTTAGAATAAACAAAAATTGGTAATGTCTTCTCTTCCTTTCCTTTCCTACACCTTGACTTATTTGGGGGCTATGTCATCTGTCTAGAATATCTCCTGGAGAATGGCATCTGAATGCATTTTAATGAATACATGAATGAGTGATATTTATATATGACATATAGCTTATGCAATATAGGAATTCAGAGAACAGAGAGCATCCACACCCCGCCTAGGGTGGTCATGGGATAACTGTTTCACAGATTGGGCTTTAAAATATTGGCAGGGCCCCTGGGTGGTTCATTCAGTTAAGTATCTGACTTCGGCTCAGGTCATGATCTCATGGTTTGTGAGTTTGAGCTCTGTGTCAGGCTCTGCGCTGACATCTCGGAGCCTAGAGCCTGCTTCAGATTCTGTGTCTCTCTACCTTTCTCTACTCCTCCCCTACTTGTGCTTTGTCTCTCTCTCTCTCTCTCAAAAATAAATAAACATTAAACAAAATAAAATATTGGCAGGAATTGACTAAGCAGCAGAAGTTAGGTATGATAAGTGGAATTAGTAAAAGTACTGAGAACCGTTGGACTGGATTTGGGGATTTATATGAGAGAAATATAAGGTAGAGCTGGAAAAGAGGCTGGGGCCAGAACATTCTAGATAGCCACTGTGTTTAAACTCCATTTTTTGTGCTTGTGGAGGTCTAACTAGAAGAGGTATGATTAAAGCACAATTTTAGGAAGATTAAACATGAGCGGGGTGAGTCTGTGGGGAGCAGGACAGGGGTCAGGTAAGTACCGTAGTACTGTAGGTATAATTAGGGCCTGAACTTGGGTCTAACAGGTGATGCTATGCTGGCATCTGGTGATCACTGCTTCTGGGGAATCAGATGATGACCTTGACTCTCACTTCTTCAGAAGGAATTGGAAGGGAGAGAGATGAGAGGCAGGAAATAGCAGTGGAAGCTACTTGGTTATTTAGGGCAAAAAAAAAAAAATCTGGAGAGGGTTCTTTGGGGGCAGGTAAAGCTCACCTCCCCCCTCTATCTGCAGCTCCTAGGGTAGCTTCATTTTTAAAATTTTTTAAATATTTATTTATTTTGAGAGAGAGTATGCACAAGCCAGGGGGGGCAGAGAGGGAGAGAGAGAATCCCAAGCAGACTCCTCACTGTCAGCGCAGAGCCCAACATGGGGCTCAAACCCACGAACTATGAGATCATGACCTGAGCCAAAATCAAGAGTTGGACACTTAACTGTCTGAGCCACCCAGGCACCTCTCTAGGGTTGTTTTAGAGATTGGAAATTGTCAGAGTTGGTGAGGAGGCTGTTGGTATCTTATGTCACATGATTCCTGTTCAACCTTCTGGAAACTTAGGGCCTCTGCTGACATGTCCATGTTTTTATTACCATATGTGGACTTGAGCTAAGGCCTTGTGCCCTCTTCTGGATTTGGTTATAGGTGCAGTCAGTAGTTCTTGCTAGAGCTGCCCTATTCAACATGTGCCCAAAGCCTGCCTTTTCTAGTTAACACATTTGGAGAAAGTCATGGGTTGTCATCAAGTCAACTCTGATTGTATCTT